TATATATATATATATATATATATATATATATATATATATATATATATATATATATATATATACACCAACTTTACCTGAATGGTGACCATAGAACTGGTGCATATGTTTAAGTTCTCATCTAAATAGATTTACTTATCTGAGCCTCAAGGCGTTAAGTATGTCAAGTCACAGCACAGTAAACCCAGTATTCAAGACAAGGCAACAGACAGTGGGATTACTCAAAAAGCATTTATCAAAACAACAAATCTGCAGTACCAGTAGCTAGGGCGCCTAAGGCAGCCACCTGAGCAGAAGAGAAACACAGGTTAGTAACCACGATATTCTGACGGAGGATGATTATGAATGGGTGAGTCACTATCCTGGTTTTAGTGTTCAGTCTCCCCTAAATGTGGTAAAGTCCAGCCAGTCAGGTGATAAGAGGTACGGCTACTTCACAGAGAGTTCCATATGCTGAAACCTTGAAGACTGCAGAACAAGCAGGATATCAGATCCAAGCAGATTAAGGAAGTCAGGATAATCCACAGTGCAAAGTAAAATAGTCAGATCCAGGTTCAGTCCATAGGCAGATTCCAACAGGAGTCAGACAGCTTCTTTGTTTCTGCTTGATAAATAAATAAATAAACACCTCCTTCAGGCCTTTATTTCTTCAGATAGAGAGAATTACTTTGTAGCCTTGGATGATGCCTTACACTAGAGCTGGATTATGTAAGAAAAATCTTAAATTGCAATACTAAAACAGAATTGCAATGTCAACATCAATTAAGCTTATCTTACTTTGCATTACGCAATGTCTCCACCCCTGGCTGTGACCTTTAGCGTCTCAGCAAATAAAAAGCTAAACCAGGTGTGGCCATTTAGGGCAGCTTCAGTCCCTTCAATTGTGCAAATACTTAATTGGTAGGGTGTAAATTCCTGCCACTCAAAATATTGTATATTCTTCTAAATATGCCATGCAAGAATACCTTTGCTGCTGTGATATTACTATTCAGTGCAAAAGTTATTGCGATGGCCATTATGTATTGAGCAGCTTTAGACAAAGTTAAACTCTGTTTTTGGTTCCGCATTTTGAATGTTCTACAATGCAAGATGGTATTCACCGTAATATTTGCAAAAATAGCTAATTTTCTAACACTCAGACCTCAATAAGAGTAACCTACACAGATCTTTATTAATTTCAATGCCTCACATATAAACTAGGATTTAAAAATAATTTCATTAAGTTTATTCTTTTTTTTTTATGTAGCAGCTTACACAATAACTCTAACAAATACTTTCAGCAGCTTCGGATCACAAAAAATATTGCTGTATGTTTAATGTTGTATACATCTCCAAGAATCCTAAAGAAAATTTAAGGATGGATAGTGGGTAATGACATCAGCATACCTCGACCTATAGAGCTGTTACAGAGTTTATCTTAAGGATTCTAGATCAAATTTCTTAATTTTATATTAGACTGAATCAGAAACAAAAATAAAATTTCAAAAAAAAGAAAAGCTAAACCAAAGAAAACCAAGGAGCCTAAATTATTGAATATAATATTTAACAAATTTTAACATTTTTCAGGAGCCAAAAAAATCATAATTTAACCACTGTGGAGGAATTGTATTAGTCTAATCTAGTTGAGCGGTGCAACATGACTCTGAGATCTTAAGTTTGTTTTAACCTCTATAATCATAATCCTGACCGCGTTAGCAGGATGAGTTACAAAGTTTATCACCTTAATTATTACTTTGACCATAGATAAGGGGAAGTTTAGTTATTAGGAGGTTCTCAACATGAACATATACCTGTGTTTCTGCACATCGCCATAAGGGGCCCTGGTGCCTGTCTCCGAATACTTGGGGTTCTGTACTTTATGAACAGGTCATTATCCCTTCACACGGGGGAAACAGAGACACACACAACAGCCATGTATGAACAGCAGTTAACTATGAAAAAAAATGTTGATTTAAGATTTTCTACTGTTGAATTTGGTTCTGGATAACAGCTAAGAGTGGCTCTAGTAAGGCTCTATTAAAGGTGTGTGTGTGTGTTAAATCTGGTAACACAACGTGACCAGTAGAGGTCAGTCTAACATCTCAACCCTCTCCTCTGGTTTGCAGAACTACCTCTCTGAGATGGACTTTGAGAGCCTGCTGGGTGTAAGTCGGTCTGAGTTTGCAGCCATGTCAGAATGGCGTAAGGTGGATCTGAAGAAAAAAGCAGGCCTCTTCTAGGAAGCATTTAACCGCTGGGTTTCACAGAAGCGGTGCCAAACCTGTCCGACCGAGAAACTGAGAAATCAAAGCAAAACACATTATGTCTCTATTGACAGAAGCAGAGGGAGTTGTTCTGAATAACTTATTCACTTAAATGTTTTTAAGCATTACGCAAGTTCAGTAGATTAGAAAAGAAATTTGACTTTTAATAAGCAGATTGCCTTGTTTTTAATGATAGATGTAGTCTGAATGAATGTATTGAAAAATGTTTATAAGCTGATCACCTAATAAAGTTGTCTGTGTTGTTGCAATGAATCAGAAGCTATAACAAATAAAAAGAGAAAACCACCAGTGAGAGATTAAGACTGCTTTTATTTAAGAAGTAGTGCAAACACTAACAGGAAACATGACGAACAAATGCATACAGTTCCAAAAAAGAAAGTATTTTAAAGTAAAATGTGACAGTTTATAACGTTTCAGTATTTTTTTTTTCTCGCATATTTTGACCTGGTCATCAAGCCTATGAAAAATGCACACTTTGGTACAAGGCTTTAGATTAAGAAGTAGAACACAAAGGCACATAAAAAAACATTACACTAAATAGATAAAACAATTCTCATTTAAGAAAATAAAATAACTACAGACTTAACATTGGCTGGTATGAGAGAGTCATCGCATTTTTTTTTTCTAGATATCACCATGCTAAGACAAAATTGCACAGCCTTTAACAGTTTCTAAGCCCCACATACACATACTATTGCACCTTTTTGCTATTTTGCTCTTTATAGAAAAAACACTGGGGGCCTAACAAGGTAGAATTAGCTGGTTAGATAGTCTGGCTACCTGCTTTGATGGGCAGTCTTTTATTAGAAAAGCGGCTTATAGCCTGCAGTTATTAAACAGTGCACTTTAGGTTACGCACCATGATTGGCCTTGATGTCTGCGGCTGAAAGCATTTCCAAAAATCAGAGTTTGTTTTTTGTAAGCAAGGGAAACATGAGGTAGCCTTTCTGTAGTCAGCTGTGTGTTCAGTAGAAGTCACAGGTCAGAGAGGGGGAGTGTGATGTTACTCTGTGCTTCTAACTGTAAAACGACATAAATTCAACACCTTTATTGACATCTTACTAAAAAATACTTTAAACTGTAGGTAAGATGCAGCAAGAAAGGTTGTCAGTTTTTAAACTGTGGCCTGTTTTTTTTTCCTCTATGCATTTAACCAGACTGTACCCAGTGCAGACCTCTGCAATCGTTAGTTATATATATTAAGGTCTGATCTACTCTGCAAATCTAGGAAAAGCAAAATAAATGCAGATATTTGTTGCCTGATAATTCAGAAGCAGACAGCCATGTAAAATATATGATGATTAATCTCCTGAGACAGAAAAAACAGTTAAATGACCCTCATTCAATAACATCACGTCCCTCCCATTCACACACAGTTTCAACTACTTTCACTTCACTATAATAACAAAGCTCAAATATTATAGGTTAAAAAAATAAACAGGTAGAGAGTGTCTTTAACAAAGGTTTAGGGAGCCCACTGCAATACTTGGTCATTGCTCTGCTGTTGGCTTTTAAATCTTGAAGGTTTTCATTTCTGGTGTGACGGTTTTCCCTCTTTTATGATCCTACTGACGTTATATGAGCATGATATGCACAAACAGCCCTGCAGAAGGGATGACATCGCCCCTCTTGGTGAGCAATGGGACATGGCGATATCCTGCAAAAGAGGAAGTCATTTTCAGCCTTGTCAGCAAAGCTAAGGTTTGCACAATCAGAGTTATGTTATTTAGGAAGATTAACAAAACAAGAACAAAAAGCATGTGAAAACAAGTGAAACAACCAAACTTTGACTTCTCTGCTTTGTGTTAATAGTTTCATACCGTTTTGAACGCTGGTGAGCGGCAGACAGTAATTCCCAATGTGATCATTCTGAGAAGTTGAATCATAGTCTTCCAAAACAAAGCGCAACAGGGCCAGCTCAGGAACGTGGATAGGAAAGACAAATTTCTCATTCCATGTGGGGTTGAAACCTGCAAGGAGAAAATCATTGGGTCAGCAGAATGCTGAAAAAGTGTCCAGCCTGCTGTGCATCTCAATCAAGATAATTGCTGACAGATTATTTTTTATTTCAAGAATTAAGTTCCAAAAGAGAATGTCAAGTTTTATTTCGATTAATTAGAAATATTATTACTACAGATCTTTTTGGGCTCCTGACTTAACAGCAGACTGTATTGAAGCAGTGTTCCACTAAAAGTTACTGCTAAAAAAAAAACTGTTTGCAGAGTTTGATGGGGAAAGTTCAGGCAAGTTATGGAAGGAAAAAATATAAATACAAAAATGTTTCTTAAGCATTTAATAGCAGAAAATAATAATTAAAATGAACTTTTCATGAATTTATAACTGTAATGACCCTCTTATGTTCAATGTTTTATGTTCTTTTTTTTCTTATATTTATTTTAGGTCCTGATTTGACTTCTTAGTATGTGCTTAATCTTGTTTATGGTTCCACTCCTTTTCCTAGCTCCTATCCCTTCACTTTTTACAGGGTCAATAATAAGAATACTATCCAGGGTAGGAAAGGAGCTCTGGACAGCTGTGCTGAATCCAGACAGCCTTCAGCCTTACAGACTTCATTACACGTACATGAATGACCTGGTCAAATTGGGGATACAGCTTTCCAGAAAAGAACTACAAAAAACAAAAGTTCCTGAAGCAACTGTAGCTTTAATACTTCATGGCTTAAGTGTCCTTAAGCATTCAGATTGAGTCTGTCTGGTTGTCTGTTTGTTTATTTGATTTTTCCTGTTCCTCTGTCAGTTTTATATTTATTTTCCTATTTATTTATTTATTTATTTATTTATTTATTTATTTATTTATTTATTTATTATTATGTATTTAGTTTATTTACATATTGTTCAGGAAATGAAACACAATAGATGATTATATAGAAAATATATTTAAAATCAGATGTGTGTGTGCTTTTAATGGGGTTTTAATAGTACTAGATATTGGCCAGATATCCTTATAATACACAGTTATATGGCGGACACACAATAGACAATCTCAGGATTCTGGATACACTGCATTCGCTAAGGAGGACAATAGATATAATATGAATACTGTAGGTGGAGCAAGATACAGATATTCACACAGTAATTGATAAGTGTATTAAACATATTGCTAGATGAGTCTTTATCTTTGCCTTAAAGATTGAGATGACATTTTTATTTCTCTTTTTTAAATCAAGCTTATTTCCAGTCTGTGGTCCTCTGGACACATACTAAAGCTTGTACATTTTATTTGATAATTCCTTTTCAAGTTATTAGATTTTTTTTGTCTCAGCTGTATAGGTGTGCCTAGGTACAACGGAGTATTAGAGCCAGGCTAGAGAATTTGTTTAAATTTTTTTCTATTTCGAGAATAAATTTGTAAGTTACTAGAAGAAAGTTAAAAAATTACAAAAATAAAGTCACAACATTACGTGAATAAACACATGATATTACGAGAATAAAGTAGTAATATTACGAGAATAAAGTAGTAATATTATGAGAAAGTTGAAATATAACAAGAATGAAGTCCATCATACCACAACTGGTTTGAGCTTTGAGCAGCTTTGAGCTGCTGTGCTTAAAGATTTCCTTATTTGTCAAACCAAAGTATAACTTCACATGATGATTGACATTCCTCATTTTAGGAATGTCAATCATGTAAGAGTTGTCATACAATACATTTTCATTCTCATAATATTACAACTTTACTCTTGTAATTTTATGACTTTATTCTCATAGTAACTTTATTTTCATACTAATATCACTATATTCTCATTATTTTATGACTTTATTCTTGTAATGTTATGACTTTATTGTCATTGAAACTTTATTCTGGTAATTTTACGACTTTATTCTCGTTGCGACTTTATTCTCATAATATTATGACTTTATTCTCGTAATATTATGACTTTATTTCGCAATAAAACTTTATTTTCGTTATTTTGAGACTTTATTCTTGTAATATTACTACTTCATTTTCGTTGTTTTATGACTTTATTCTTGTAATGCTACGACTTTATTCTCGTAATTTTATTACTTTATTCGCGTTGCTACCTTATTTTCATAATATTATGACTATTCTGAAAACAAAAACAAAAAAGATTCTCTAGCCTGGCCTTAATACTTGTTTATGGTTCAGCTTGTGGACAGTCAGGTATATTACACAAGCTTTCTGGAAGTAGTTATTCTCAGCCTCAGAGGACTGAAACGGTGAAAAATCATTTCATCTACTTCCTATAAGGTTTTTGGTGATCTATTTTATCCCTGTTTCCCCCTACTTAGACTCTCTGCTTTGGGCTGAACATTAGAATAGAATGATAACTGAATCTACCAAGATGTAAATGCATTCATATGTAGGTTCCACTCACCGTTGTTTTGGATACATTGCGTCTCCTTGCTGGCATTGTCAGCGGGGACCCCATAAATCTCCACCCTCACCAGAGGGTCAACGATGGACTTCTGCTTTTCTTTGTTCAGTTTAGGCAACTGCTGAGCTGAGATCACCTGTTGTGTTCAGAAACATATGATCATAATAAAATCATCAGCCTTTGTCCTTTACTTGCAAAAGGGTTATATTTTTGAAGGATTCCAGTTTTAAAAGATGCCGATCTCAACTATAGCTATTAAAATTAAACAACCATATGATACTGGAAGAACTGGTAAAATCCCCTTTACGTTAACTATTCAAATAGAAAAGCCTGAATAGTTTCTGATGTTTTAAAGGCATGCCCTTCCAAGAGGAAAAGTAAAAATGGAGTCAGAAATTTAAGTTTAAAGATTTAAAATTCGACACAAAAGAAAATTTTGAAAATTCCACAAATACAAAAATTGTAAAAGTACAAATCAAGAGCTGGGTCTTTACTAGAGTGTTGCTAAAATAAAAAAAAAGTAAGTTTATACATAAACCTAACAATACCAATCAGGGCCTCCACGCCACAAAGCTGTGTTAGTGGGTTAAATCTGGGTTAAATCCCTGCATACCACAACTTTTTTATTTCAGGAAGCTAGGAAGTCACGGCCAAAGTGAAATGATGACAGAAAAGGACAAAATAAAACAACCATGCTTTGTAGCAGGTTATTTTTACCTGTTTTCATTGAATCATACATACTATCATTCTGAGACTTCATAAACAGTCCAGTCAGCGGCCTTCAACCATTGATAACAACCTCATGCAATCAAAGGTTAAATTATGTTTGGGAGATTTTACATCTCTTTGCAGGTGATGAAGCAGACTGAAAATGTTTTAACGTTATCTCCCTTTTTATCTCCTCTTTCTTTCATCTTTTCATCCTTTTTTTTTCTTCTGTTCTACCTACATTACAGTGTCCAAGCAATTTATATGCATAAATCAAGTGGAATACTATGGCAATAGCCGTCCTGCTCCACTTGTGAAAGTAAAATCTGTTGGGGCTCTTTTTGGCATCAAGACAATTGTTCTTATTGCCACATCACCAGACAGGACACTGTTAAAAATAAATAAATAATGTTTTGGACAACACTAATGGGTTGAAGGTGAAGAAATAAAATCTATAAAAAATCTATTGTATATGTGGGCGTAAACAGCAGCAGTATTCCTGAGGTGAACTCTCACCATGACATGGAGGGTCTTCTGCTGTAGCCACGGCCCTTTGGTCAGAGAGTTGGGATTGAACTGAGACGACAGGCTTCTCTGGAATTCGGGTTTCAGGATGTAGCCGCAAAAACCGTTTTGCAGAAATCGGCCTTGGTTAAGGTGCATCTCCTTCGAGGGAGTTTGGAAGTTCAAGGCCACTAAGAAAAGCAAAAAAAAAACAGATAGAATAAAAGAGTTGATGAAAGCACTGCTCGTCATTCAGCATGTTGATGATTTTATTTCTAAACCTAGCCTCATGGAAAATTACCAATCTGGCAGCCGACATTCCACATGGGAACGGGGTTGTAGTTGGATGAGTCTGTCCTGGAGCCAGCAGGGTAGATCCTGCTGAGCTTGTCCATGTTGTGATGGATGAAGGCGGTGCCTGTATAAACACATTAAAGGCATTGATGCAGGCAGGTGTTTGTTTTGTAAATCTGAGGAGGTTTCTCTCGGAAAAACTGACATTGGATTACAAATAAACACACCATTAGTCATACTCCCAACCACAATGCTCTGATTCAAGCATTGAGTAAAAATAAATACATGGTAACCAAAGCTGACTATAACATATTCATTTTCATCTGGTCTATTATCTGACAAAGAGAACAGAATGGCAACCTGTCTTTTAATACAGACATAATTCAGTCGTTACGCTATGCTTACTTTCCTATATCCTGTCCATGTCTATTCCTAGAGGCTGTTACTGTTCTAAAAACTGGTAGACATCACATGTAGGGCTGCAACTAACAATTATTTTGAAAATGGATTAATTTGTCAATTATTTTTTTGATTAATAATTGGATAGCAAAAGGTTTTAAACCAGCTGATACCTAATCTTTTCCACTTGTGGAGTGTTGGATAGAGCACATTGACAGCACATTGATTAGATGCAAAAACTGTATATTTATTTTTTTTTTTTTTACAATTTTGATATAATTACTGCTCTAATTGGGCCACTCTGTCAGCTAAAGGCATGTTTTACAGACTCTATACTCCAGTTAACAATCAATTACCTAATGAGCTGATGATTATTTCAATAACTGGTTAATGATAATTAAACCAATTAACTGTTTCAGCCCTATTCATACAATACCTGAATTATCAGCCAGGCTGAAGGCTTTGCTTTCCTTGAAAGATGACATTTCATAGAAAGCCTGGTTGTCTCTGGCATGTTCAAACCCATGGAAATGGACGCTCTTACAGTAGATGACAATATCCGACAGCTGTTTGGCGAGTTTGATCTTTGATTTCTGAAAGACGATGAAGACAAATCAACATCAAGTCTGAGACTCCAGCAAGTCTTTTCTACCTTTATCTTTCACCAAATAAGTACAAACCATGTGACTGACCTTTGACTTTGCTTTTTGATCTTTCTCCTTAACATCCGCAGCCTCGTCTTCCTCAGACACCGTATCTTCCTCAACAATGTTGTTGTTAGAGAACATGGCGTCCAGTTTGTTCAGTCTTTTCCCCTTGATGAGGAACTTCCCCTTCAGCTCCTGCATGTAAAAAACACAAAGTATGCTTAAACATTTTGTTGTGCAATTTGTAAAATGCAAGAAAGCACATTGTCTTATTTTTTGTAGTCTAATAGCATGTGTCAGTGGTTTTCACCGCTGTCATAAATACTTTTGAAGCTCGTCGCACTAACAATATCCAATAAATATTTTTTACATCCACTTCACCCTTTTTAATTTAATTCCATCAACTGATTCCAAAACAAAGTGCAGATTATGATTTTCTTAGTAAAAGTGGGGGGAATTTGCTCAACATCAATGACACATATCTATAAAATATAAGCAATGAAATCTTCCTAGAATTTCAAATTATTTAAACATCATGGTTAAAAAAGGGATAAAAGAAGACCACATGAACAATGCATCATCTCCATGGCTAAGACCCTGATTGGTTATTTTTACAATAAGTAGCGAAAATCCAAATTTTGCAGAGCCTCTCTGTTTTTTATGCTTATGCAACATTTTTAAAAATTGATCCAGGTAAACTAAGCTTTCATCTCCCTAATAAAAAATCAAAAAAAGACTTTCCCCTCCTATGGACCAATTAGTTTAAGTGCCGATTTCAAAATGTAACCCACAACTAGACATCTAAATAAAGTATTGCCATGTATTATCTCCCCTAGACAAACAGACTAATTTAATCCTCCTTTGACACAATATTTATAGTCAAAGCTTTAGAATTACTTGAAACTAACCGGAGCTTAATGTGATGCTTACATACCTCTGGTGAGGGGAAGTTGGTGGGCATAGTGTCACCCAAAGGCTTTGTGACCAAAGCATCCCCCAGGATGGAGAGCAAGTGATGGGCCATGACCTTCTGTTGTTCCACTGTGCAGTGGTTCTCCAAAGACAGAATTACAGGGTATTCAGATGTCTGGAAAAATAAAAGATCAACCATCAGCAAACATAACTTTTTGCTGTTACGCGGGCAATAAAACATCTCACGTACCTTGAAGGCAAAGTCTCTGATGGCTCTAATGACATCTTTGAAAAGTATTCTTGATGTGAGAGTGTAGCCGTGATAAATAAGCGGCTCTCCATTAGGTCCATCCCAACAATCCAGCTCCACACAACGACAACTCTTCATCAGTGCCCTGTTAGAAGAGGGAACCCTTGAGTATCATGGATAGGAATACTAGTAAAAGGATTTCCTCTGCAATAAATCATAGGAGCAACTAATTGGCTACAAACTTTTATTCAATATAATTATATATTATTAATCCTTGAAAGGAAATGCAGTAGAAGCTTTGAAAGAATGCCTATAGAAGCATTCCTCCAAATTATTCAATTTCCTCTTAAATTAATCAAAAATATTCATGATTGTTAGGAATCCAGTTTGTGTGGCCTGTTTTTGTGTTTCCTTTTTTCACCCCCAGGAGGTGCCCTGCCTACTCTGTCCCTCCCTGCACACCTGCGGCTCATTGGACCATTATCTGGAGGAGTATTTGAGCAGTGGGCTGTCACTAACTCGACGCCAGAGTATTTGCCAGTTTTGGGAAGCTTTCCTGTGTTACTGGATACCTGGACCTTCTCCCCCCTGGAAGGAAATTCCGACTTCACACTAAGCAGGGGAAAACCTCCACATGTTCAGTTCAAGTTCCCATCGGAAATCCGAGTGACAGTCCAGTTCCAGTTCACCAACTCACTGAGTACCAGACCCTACTCCTGTTAACTTCCCAAATAAACCTGTTAAACCTTTCCCATGCTCTCTGAGTGGTTTCTCTGCATGTGGGTCAGATTCATAAAACCGATCATGACAATGATAAGTCATCAATAATCAGTGGATGATTGACTGGATGCATATAAACATTGATTTCCTGTAATCTATATATATAGATGATAGTAACAGTCGAGTTCCACAACTGAACATTGTGGAACTTGCATCTTAATTTTGACTAGGGATGAAACAATGAATCGGATCAATTGTGATTAATCAAATATTGAAATAATCTACAACTAATTTAGTAATCGATTAATCGAGTATAGGGACTCTAAAATGTTCCTGTAGCTGACAGAGCAAACCTCTTAAAGTATTAATTATACCAAAATTCTAAAAAATATTTAAAAATTTTGCATTTAAGATGAAAAAACAAATGTTGGGAGTTTCGCCTGGTTTAATTTAATAAAAAATCCTCTTTAAGGAACCTTTTGGCTATCCGATTATTATTCAATTATAAAAAAAAAAATTGAGAGATTAATCGATTAGCAAAATAATCGAAAGTTGCAGTCATAATTGTAACCACAAATCCTTTAAAGTTAAGTTTTGTAAGGGAAGTTATAAATATATATTTTCCAAAATATTCTAGTCACAGAAATAAAAATGTAATTAAAGGCTGAATTAAATTGTGCAACTTGTAATAAGGTAATACCAGGCCACACAGAACAACAAAATTCAAGAGTCCTTTCTATATTTTTTATATTAGAGCCTAATATAAGTGTTTACTTTATATAAGCCTCGGTGCTGCTGGGTCCTTTGAGTTGGTCCTCCATCAAGTAGGTGTTGTGCGAGGAGGAGATAAAGTAATGATTGAGAGGCTGACTCATGTCTTGATAAACCCGCGTGTGAGCTGGGTTGAGAATGGATCCTTCGTCATGGTTGAGGTACATAAGGAATCCGTCTTTAGTCATGTGCTTCTTCTGCTTTGCTGCGAGGATCAGTAGAGAGAGATGAGTTATGCTTGAAACATTTAAAAACAAACCATCCAGCTCTAAGTTAAATACCTGTTTCGTCCAGTTCGTATTTATCAATCAGCTTGAGCGCGCTCTCCATGGTCGCCTGCTCCCTCTGCTCGTTCAGCAGGAAGTTCAGCAGATCCATGTGGCTCATCTCACCTTCTGTTTTGGCATAGTTCTTATAGATCACATCTATCTCCTCGCGATGTGTTAAGAGGTCGTAAAATTTCTTGATCTCTAAGTCTTCCAAAGTACCCGAATTTGATTCATCACATTTCTGCATAAACATAATGAGACCTTAATCAGATTTTGGTGTTACTTAAAAATATGTGCTCATTAAGATAAATTCCCTGGGGAGGTTTTTCATTGTCCTACCTTAAATAGTTCCCCTGCATAGCTGTCATCCACCTCAATGTTGAGCTGCCTCAGGAAGTGCTTCAGCTCTTTTAGCGTCATTTTGTTGTCTTTGTTCTTATCTGCTTTCCGCATGCAGTTGATGATCCAGCTGGTTTTAGATGTAAGGCTTTTGTTTACAACAGAACAATACCAAAGAAACACCTATGCAGAGGAGCTCTGTTTCTAAAGAACTTACAACATATAATACATAGATTCATAAAAGTTGTGAGGTAGATAAATCATGATTAAAGCATTTTGAAGTTCATGGCTGGTGCTAGACAATAGTGGACAGTGGAAATAGTGGACACTAGTTGTGTTTTGTACAGATCAAAGCTTTAAACTGGTTTCATTTTCAAGTATAAATAGAGAAATTAAGCCTTAAGCTCTAAATCTTGATCTAGTCTCTAAACATCAGATGAAAAAAAGGATAAGTGAGGTATGTAATTAGAGTTCATTCAAAGTAGTTTTGGTTTAGAAAAAAAACAGCAGATTTCACCCAGTTGGGGAAAAAAAATCCTTCTTGTAAATCTAAACTGAAAAAGATCCCTGAATATCTGATACTTTTCAAGTGACTGAATGTCTTTTTTTTGGCACGCATCCATCTATTTCTCAGTATGAGCTACGACGTCTTGTTTTTACTTCCACTTTTGACTCAGAAAAATAGAAAAAAATTAGAGCTACAACAACTGACTTCAAAGATTTGATTTTAACAAAATTCAGTAAGTCCATCCTTTTTAGACTCGACAATAATTGGATCCTCATATTTTTGCTCATGGAATAAAAAGGTATAAAACAAATCCTCATTAAGGATACTGTTCACTCTTCTGTTTCTTGTTGAGGTTGCGCATGTTATTGACGACCTTCTCCAGGCTGCTGACCCACCGGTGGGCCTCCTCCTTAGAAGATGCCATGAAGTCAAGGTTCTTATCACGTCCCTTGAATATGATAGAGAAGCACTTCTCGTCTTCGCTGGGGTCAGTGTATTTTTCTAATCCCTCAGACTGGCGGCCCTTGCGCACAGATTCAATGTCATCGATGAGGACTGTTTGGAGAAAACAGGACATATTATTAGGATCTGGATTAAGAAGCATGACTATGTTTAATAATACTGTAACTACCCGATTTTATTCATCAGTCTAACTTTTAAATATACATCAAGTGAGCAGATTGAGACTTTAAATGGAATCTGCATGTGTGGAAAAATCGTTTATAAAGCTTTTAGGGCTTTTGGTAAAACTACAGAAAAGTTGAACAGATTGCTTTATTCTTAAGCATTTTGAACCTTTGAGTCATTGTTATCTTTTAATGTACAGCCCTTCCTTCAACATGTTATCATGCAGACATACTACATGTTCCTTTTGATACAACATAATTGTTTTGATATCTTATCCACTGATAAGGCTTCTGCTTTTATGAGGGAGGTCCCTTGTTTCGCCTCTCACACGTCCTTGAAAGCAACCACATTGTTCAGAAAAGACTTAGCCCACCTCAATGTGGGATTTTTTTTTTAGACAAAAAGAGAGAATGGATAGTATTACATAGGGAGAAAACTAACAATAACCAAAAATACATTTTGCAAAGAAAGGCCCTAAAAATATATATTTTGTGGCCAATGCTTTTTTATCATGCTATTTCTACCAGTAATATCTGTTGCTGCAATCAATAGTCAAAATATCAGATCATTCACACACCAACTATAAACTCATTGCAGCTCTGGCATTGCTATTTGAAAGCATCATCTAGTGTTAATAAAAATAGTAAAATAGAATAGTGTGTTTTATTTTGAGTAAGTAGTAGTCAAGTTCCACTGCTCTTCCTTATAGCCCACTCATTGAAACCTTAGCCTTCTGTCTTTTCTGTCAAAAATTCCTTGTTGACATCACTATAAGAAATATAGCTCAGTTGAGCTGCTTTTTTTTTTTTTTAACGTTCATAACATCCTTGTTGCTGTCAAGGTTAAAAAAGACCACACCCTTCTGTCACGCTAATCCGAAGCAGGGTCGTGAGGGGTGCTGATCTCCAGCTGTGTACGGGCATGAGGTGGGGTACACCCTGGACAGGTCAGCAAGGCAACACAGAGACAAACAGGACGTACAACCATTCACACACACACTCACACCTAAGGACAATTTAGAGAAACCAATTAACCTAACAGTAAGGTTTTTGGACTGTGAGAGGAAGCCGGAGTACCCGGTTAAAACCCACACATGCTCAGAGAGAACATGCAAACTCCATTTATTCTTCTTGTTGCAAGGCGGCAGAGCTACCCACTATGCCACTGAGCAGCCCCTCAGTCATCTTCCATGTTTGTTTAATTAAGCAAATGCAGTTAAAGTACTTGGACAATTAGGAGATGGTATCTTTCTGTCTAAAAAAAAAAACGAAATCTCTTGGTTAATCTATCATAATGACCCTGGATTAATGCAAAATGCAGCTATTTATTGACTTTACTTTTTGTATTGTCCTACTGCCAAGCATGTGGAACACAAGGGCACATAAAAATAGCACAACTGCCATTTTTTTGCTTTGCTTTGATTTATCATCCCCCAATGTAAAACAGAGAGCATGCACTGAAGGTCTCTGCTTATGCAATCTGTTTCATCCATACTTTAGAGGCCAGTTCTTTTGTTTAGGAGCTTAATGCACGGAAGAGGACACACCAACGGACATATTGTCATCACACTAAGTAGCAAAAATCGAGATAAAAACAATTACCACTTAAAGCTCAGTTACAATGTCAACTGAGGTTTTAACATACGTCACAAATCTAAATTATCTTAAGGACAAGGTTTTTTTTAATAGTCTTAGATGTTTTCTTAATTGAAAAAAATTCAAATATCAAGTGAAATCAGAGGAAGCTCACTCGAATATTAAGGTGGAAAAATTTGAAGAGTAATCCCCTCAAGTCTCATGTCTACATTTCGTGTGAAAAAGTAGGTTTTTGACTTAAGGGGTTGAGGGTTTAGTTCACTGATATAGGAAGCAGTACGATTACATAGTGACCACATAGTGTAAGTCAAGCTTTCAAAGAGAATTACATTCAGTATAGAAGATTTTATTCATTCATGTAAATGAGTTAAACACCTCATAAATGTGTTGGTATTTGGCAGCTAACACAGTTTAAAAAGCTGAAATGAAGGTATATAAAAACAGATTTACTGGAAATTTAAGTTAATAAGGTGTTATTATGGTTATTGTGGTGAACATTGTTGTTATTGGTATTGTTACCAATAACAATAATAACACAGTTAGCAGTAGTATTGTAATGATAATGATTGCTTTATTAGACTTAGACTTTGACAGACTTTATTGTCATTTTGTACACATAGTGTATACAAAAAGAAATTACATTCAGTGCAGCTGTCAAGATATTTTAATATTTTAAAGTGCAGCAGTGATAAATGTAAACACACGACTGTATATTAGTTACAGTTTCCAAAATTCCGGGTCTTTTTTGTTTTTTGTTTGTTCTTTTTATAACCCAATTTTATACAACATTCAGCCGTCTAATGGCAGTGGGGAAGAAACTGCTGTGGAATCTGCTGGACCAGCATCGAATGCTTCAAAGTCTCTTTCCAGAGGGCAGCAGGGAGAATATTCCTGCTATGAAGTGAAAACTGGTGTCAATGTTGTTATTGTTATTATTAAATGATAAATAGTTGTATTATCACTAATTACATTTGTTGTTATGGATGTTGGTTATAACATTATGTAATAATTTTATATAGAGTAATTTCTAAATTTGTGCAATGAAGGATTGGGATTAAATATGCATTGTCTTCTTCCTCCTTTTGAACAAAGACTTTCTTCTTCAATTGTATATTTTCTCCTTCTGTTTCGTCTTTGTTTTGATTATTGTTTTATAATCAAATAAAAGTCGTAAAAAAAAAAAAAATAAAGTAATCCATGTATCTCAGGGGTGTGGTGAGGACACAGGCTGATTCATCGTTAGCCAATCCTTAAAACAGGTAAGATAGGAGAACCTCCCATTCAAGCAAAGAAGATGTGTTTGATCCTCATATGTCAGGAAGCAACAACAAGAGAGATGCTACTACCCCAATCTTCATTCAATACAAAAAATAAATTAATAAAATTAATGAAACAATGTTTTGGACCCATATTTAGCTCTTTACCACACAGTTCAGGAGGTTAAATAACTTAAGGTAAAAAAAAAAAAGATATTACAAGCAAATCTTTGAATGTTGTGCTATGCTGTGGTATTGAAAGATTGCGCCCCTTTTTTTTTTTTTTTTTTTTACAAATTATTTCTATCTGTTCCAGGGTCCCTAACTGCTGCACAATCTTGAAAATAATACCTTACCTTTAGCTTTATGCTAAACTGATTCTGCTCGATTTCATTTCATTATCTTGAATATGTCACTAAATAAAGCAGACATATTTGAAATTGAATCTAAATATTCCTGTTTATAGTAACACTATTGAGTATGACCAGGCTCTTAATCTCACTTTATAATGGGAAAGAAAAAAAAATCATTAATGTTAGGCAGAAATTGGAAAATGTCTTATTGGCTTAATGTTCAGCAAGATTAATTGTATCCCGCCCCACAAATATTGAAGCAAATGTAAAGCAAGGTAAGTCATAAAGGCTCTCGAAGGCTCACTGCTCATCACTGCACTCATCACTGGCTTATAGGTCACTAAGCCTCCATGTGACTGTTAGATGGTGTCATCTTTTGTATGAAACAAAGGTAGAATATGTGCTAAAGCAGATAACAAATTTTAATTATGGTAGCAGAGGTGTGATGCTGCAAGTCCAATTATCTTCCAAAAGCCATGTGAAAAGTGTATGACTATACAAACTCTTTGGAATGCAAGGAGATTTAAAATAAAGGTCATCTCTGGGTCTTTCAGCATTATCATGAGCCAAAACATTTAGCCAAATAACACAGAAAAGGGTTAATCGGACAGTACATTGACAATTTTTATTAATGTACCCAAAAATTTAACTCAAGTAAAAGTAGCACTATTTTATCACTTACAGTACATTGATTAGTCAAGAAATTACGCAAGTAGAAGTAAAAACGTATTTGGTATAAAGGCTACTTGAGTGCTAAGTAACTGTTGGATAATAAAATCAGATTTAATGTCTATGAATTATGCTTGCAAACAGACTTTATGTGCAAGTTCTGGCATTTTAAAGACTCAAATGCCTCAAGAATATAAATAATAGTCATGAATATAAAAGAACAAATTGACATAAAACTAATCCTTACAATGAGAACTGTGCACATGTTAGGGTTGGATAACAAGCTGCCACTGTTCTACTGTTTATTGACTGTTTATCTGACTTTGGAATAGTTCAAATTACTCACAGAGGACAGAGTAATCAGAGTTACTCAAGTAGGAGTAGCGATACAAAATGATTATTTGTTTAGTAGGTAGGACATGAACAATTGTGTAAAAGTAACTAAATATGATTAAGTAAATGCCAAAAGTGGTTGCATTATTTTTTTCAATGTACAATCATATTACTAGATAGGTTTTTTTCTTTTGTAAGATTTCCATCTTTATTTTTTCTTTCACTCTCTTACTAACATGACATTATCACTGGAATGTTAACAGGGTTTTCATGCAGAAAGATTCTAAAGCATGCATAGAAAAAACCCTGTTTCGAAATGTGGTTAAAAACAACAGGTGCTTTGCAGACATCCTCCCACAACTCCTACACAAGTACAGGGTGACAGTGAAATACATTGCTTCCCTCAGTCAACAAGTGAATGCATGTTAAGAGTAAATTATAAAACAGTAAAAACTAAAAATGGTCAAAGCAGCAACAAAAGAACCACCAGACCAGTTTGTGGTTTCCTTGTTGTTCTAAGCTCAGACTGGACTGTGAGAGAATATGAGCCTCACTATCAACAGGAAGGAAGGGAAACCTGAGCTACCAAAGATCTAGATATGCACATTCTGACAGAAATCAAAGAAAAATAAGTGAAACAGGGTCACGATACGCACTATATTCCAGTGACCATTGCCCCAACCATAGCAGATGTGTGAGCTGTTTTCACTCCACCAACAACATTTTTTACATATTTGCCTTAGGAATTTGTGGGGCATATCCATGTGTGTGCTTATGTGTTATGAAGCAAGAAGCTATTGTTTTAAATCTGGAAGAATGCCCTTGGTGTACACAATAACAGCTACAGGGTGTGAAGCCGGAGCAGAAGAGAGATATACTGGCCAAGGTAATTATATTTAGCAAGATCATTTTGTCAATCTCAAACACAAAATAAGATGAAACTCACAGGTTTTTTCTCGTTGAAAGAGTTTCTCGGATGGGTACGACAAGGTCCTACAGTCTTCCATCAGCTTAAAGAAGCGGCCCCTTTGCCAGGATTTGGAACGAACCTTGATGAGCTCGCCACCAGCCAGCAGGAAATTAAGGTCCGCATCCCCTTCCAGACCTGGAGGATAAGCGACAGAAGATTGATATACAGAATTCTGATTTACTTGTCGGCCACATTAAACAAAAAAAATGTAAAACATTAAACCGGAGAAGCAAAAAATATATATATTTCTAAGGTTATTCTGCATAGGAATTTAGCATAATGATTTCCCCTAAGATAATAAGATCTGCCAAGACAACAGAATTTATTTCCACATCGGTCATCTACCTCAGTGTTTCCCAACATTTTTTGACTTCTGTACCCCTTTGGGCATCTTGTATTACCATGAGTACCGCCCTCAGTCAAAAGTATTGATGATTGTCCAAAAGTGGATAGGGCAATAACTGAAATAAAGACTGTTTAACCCAGTGGTTCTCAAACTTTTTCTGTCATTCCCCACTTTGGACAAG